GTTTACCTCTGCGTTTCGCTTGGTGAGTGCAGGTGGCCGGAGGCCCTCTTTACTGGAAATGAGGCATTCCATCTTAGTCCTCACGGGTGACAACGCATCTACATTTTGATTTGTAACAGAGGATAGATGTAGATGTCTATGGGCCGCAGCAACCACTTACCATCAGGTGGAATGTGTAGTCGTTTGTCACACTTATCCTATTAAAAAAAATACTACTTGAATTTTATTATTGATCTTAATAATCATTATTACAGCACTTCAAAATCCACTCCTGAACTCAAATTCATTAACAGCAAAGTTTCCTTTAAGTGATGCCACAAATTTATACGTGGTAGAGCCCTGCTGTAGTTGTAGTACGAACGGGTCGGCTCATCCGGGTAAGGACCACGCTTTGCACAGAATACTAGCGTAAAATAGCAGCTCAACGCTGCTATGTTTCGTACGGTGTATGTAAAGAATCGGAGATCCCTTTTTACTGGAAACGAGGCATTCTATCTTAGTCATTGCATTTTGATTTGTAGTTGAGGTTGGATGTAGATGTCTATGGGATACACCAATTATTTACCATCGGGTGGATTGTGTGTTCGTTGGTCACCCTTATCGTATATAAAAAAACATTGTTTTTACATGATATTCTATACTATTTACTCGTTTCGTCATCCACGTATAGGTACTTAACGACCAGCCTCCCAAACAAAAAAGTTTCCGAAAAGGCTTACTACACTACTGCGGACCGCACCGCGAATATACATATTATGTCACTACACATATCCACTACCCATATACCGTACCAAGGTTGTCATAAGAGGCAATAGAGCGAAACTAACCTAAAAACACTGCAGTTGACAACCCGCCAGCCAAGTACAAGTGGCAAATATCCCCCTTATGTTGTAAACTATGGGAAAGTCCTACGTTCAGCAGTGAAGCGTCTGTAATGATGATAACCTACTGACACCTATTCGTAAATTCGATAAGAGTGGTATTATGGTACTGAGGCTTATATCCCACCCTCGGCAAATTCTATAGAAAGCAGACAAGAACAATCTGCCACTTTGTCTTGCGTAAATGGACTACGAGAAAACCTTTGATTTCGTCGAAATTTTGACAGTCGCTTCAACAGTGTCAAGTTAACTTAACGATATAGCGAAGTGTTTTTACAGTAGAGATACAATGTCTAAGTACTGAACCAGAGTACAAAATTTATCTAACTGCAGAGGGGCGTAAGACATGGTGACATTATTTTCCCGCAAATGTCCACCGGTACATTAGAAAACGTTTTCAAGCTACTGGACTGGAAAGGAAACGATGTAATCATTAATGTCACTTACCTTCGGTGTATCGACTATATAGACATTACGGCAGAATTGCTGAAGGACCATAGCACTATGCTCAATAACCTCAATAGTATCTCTACGGATATGTCTTAAAATGAACATGGCCTATGCAAAGGTATATGTAAGATTCATGTCACACCGGTGTCATGAGTCGTTAGGTTTACTAAGCTAGAAGTTGTTGTCGAGAATATTTACTAGAATATTGTCTAGGACAAATTGTTCGACTAGGTAAGTCCAACTTCGACCAAAAGGTCAATCGATGGTTACAACTCGCCTGGGATTCGTCGATCCGTCAATAGACCTCCCGTCTAAATCTGAAATTAGAACTAAATGAAATTCCATTTACACTGAATAATCGGGCTAAACGAAATTAAAAGGCTCCTTCTGTAACAGCGGAACTCTAAAAAAATATGTTACAAGTAAATGCAATTTCACATGTATCTCGGATATGTTTAAATGATAACAGACGTATGAGTTCTACTGACTTAATTCGCACTGACATTAATTGTGTTAAGTCGATATTTTGAGCGAGATATCGCTTTGAGAATAAAAATTTCTTGGTCCCAAAAAGCTAATGAAGTGTACTGCGAACACTTTACCCATGTCAAACTGTCAAAAACACGTCATATTTCGAAGGTTTTTTCTTCTTATTTTTTTAGAGTTCACTACGTTGATTCCAGTAAGATTTTGATAACGGTCGAAACAGCTACATCTATGATAACTGCTTTTAACAAAGCCGATATGTTTTAGCTGTCAGTTCTTGTAAACACATTTAAAATATATATAACTGTATATACCCAATATGTATTTATATTATCACGTGTTTAATATAATTAGTTATTACTTTTACAAAAGAATTATAAAAATATTTCGTCAATTGCTGAACATACGTCTTTCTCAAGAAACGCTACTAAACACGATCCTGAGCCACCCGTACCCATCGGCTTTATACATGTCTTCCCAGGTCGTCATTCCACTTAGTGTAAAAATATTTCATAACGTGGACCTGTAAAAGGCTGTAATAGATGGGTGTTATTGTATGTATTATATGGAATTTATTTATTTATATAATCCTTATTGTTTACACCCTAATAAATAGTGTAACAAAGTGCGGACTTCACGCCTATCGGTATCAACTGGAGACCTTTTAGCGTATGTCACTCACATATGGGGGGAAGCCCTTGAGAACAGTAGGGGGAAGCACTTGCTGTTTCCCATGACGTCTCGAAGGCCTTTGTTAGGGTTTGGCACGCTTTCAGCGTTGGCTTACCCCCTCGCCTGATTGACTGGGTGAAGGACTTTCTGAGTGCACGACTTTTCTGAGCCGTCATCACTGGCCGTTTGTCTAGTCCAATCGCGACAAACGCTGAAGTTAGTCAGTGATCCGTTGTCTTCGCAATTACCTTCCTTGCTACATATTAATTATCTGCTTATTATGTATCTATGGCTTTGCAGACGACAGCACAGTTGTGAGGAGGTACCAGCCGGATGCTCGGGCCAATCGCAATCAAATCAAATAAGAGCTATTGTTGAGCGTGCGAATCTCTCACTGCAGGCAGTCCCCGAATGCAGCAATACCAATCTCATGAGATTCAACGCCTCCAAAACACAAGCGTGTCTTTTCACCGCTTTTCGAAATGTATCTTTGACCGCCTTCAGTTGGTAGAGGTTGAATTTTCTCCGAACCCCAAGTGTGAGTGGTTCATTGAGCCCAGGGCCAAAGCAGCCGCAAGGAAACTAGGTGTTCTTGCAAGGGTACGGCAGTACTTCACGCCGGGGCATTTTCTTTCCTGATATACAGTGCGAGTCCGGTCGCGCATGGATTAGGTATTGTTGTCACATATGGGCTGGTGTTGCCAAATGTGTTACAGCTAGTAGCATTGAACTCAGTGGAGATACGTGCTAAGAGGCTCACTGGTAACCTTCATTTGGTTGAAATCAATCTTGTCAGCCTCGGACACAGGCGCAGGATAGCCAGCCTCTCGGTATTCTATAAGAAGCATTTTGGTGAGTGTGCAGGAATTACACGCTTTAATTCCTCCCTCTCCTTTCCACTATCGGATAACCAGGCGAACTCTGGTTCTTTTTCGCTTTGTTGTCGATATTCCAAGCATTAGATCCAAACGGTAAGCTTCCTCCTTTATATGCGTAGAGCAAAGGAGTAGAATAATTTTCCGGCGTCTATCTTTCCGTCTGAATACAATCTGGGCATCTTCAAGGCAAGAGTGAATAGGCTTTTGTTCGGCTAAGACAGTGCGATTTACCATCTAGGGCTACATCAAGCACTGGCTTAGACAAAGTTAAAAAGTCAACCCGTGCAATGATGAGATTTTGTGGCTAAATATATACTATAATATACAAAAGCTATACATATTGTGTATTTTAATATATAAACAAAACATGTTTAATATATTATATTATATCTACATATAATTAAAATACATAGATATAGTATACACGTTTTATAAAATACACATATATTAAAGTTCAAAATAATATAACATCTAATTATATCATCATCATTCTTAGCGTCTAGCACCGCTTTGTTTTAAAAAGAAGTCATGTAACAACTTCTTAAAACAGCCTTTACTTGGCGCTCTTCTTCTTGGTTTTCAAACAAGGAATTCCAGAGTAGTGTTGCCTGAATAATAAAAGAATTGTTGGTGAACCCAGTGAAACGAGATGAAATGCTAATCTTATGATTTGATGGGGAGCGAAGAACCTTATCATGAGTTGAAAAGAGATACTTTTTAAATTTATTATTGAGATGTGTTGGAGAAGTTCGATGATTTAGAGTTTCGTCTTTATAGGATAATGAGTCAATTTCAGGCTATCACGATAATATGAGATGTGATCATATTATCAGAGATCAAATATATATCTAATACAATAATTGACTAGACGCTTTAGCTTGTTAAGAAGATTTTGATTCAAACCTGAGTAACACAGCATACATTTGCATAATCAATAATGGGAATTATGAGCATTTGCACCAGTGTTAGGTTAGTCTTGACAGGACGATAGTTCTTCAGACGAAAGAGAAATCGTATTTATGTAGTTAAAACGCCTAAGTATAGTATTATAAGTATAGTATTGTAGATATATATCTTATTGATTAATAGTATATCTACTTTTACTAATTTTCTAGATCACACGTTTTTGACAATTTATGTTCGTCATGTTTGTGCTGACGTCATAGTATATTAAGTGGCTTAGGATATAATTTTTCAAAAAAAAACAATGTTTAGTTTTCAAGTTGTAGGCAGGCATAAATACCCTCAGTACTCAGACGATAAAAATAAATAATATGGATTTTGCCGTCTTCTGATTAGGAGACCAACGACAAGCTGTAATGCATCTCTGCAAGTTTTTCAAGGGCTGTAAGTGCATCGAGTTATACAAACATATGTATAAAACATATGCGTAGTATGTAGCTGACTACATACTACGAAAACATACGAGTATACTCGTATGTACAAAAAATCCTGACAGTTAAATATCCATTAAGCGTAATAAGATAACACACAATATAAAAATAATAAAAACGACCTTAAATTTTAATTTTATATCGTTTAATATAGAACATATATCAATATACGTACGACTTACCCGTTATATCGCATAAAGAGCGAAAAAGAACATAAAATGGAAGGTGTAAACATAATACTAATTTGTGTGTTGTACGTCGAAACAAATTGTATATTGTGATACGGTGTCGTGGTTCATGAACATTAGACCTCCGGCGCCGTCGGCCCTGTCTCCGATTTCGCAGAAGTGTTTTAAGCGACGCTCTCTGATACCCACAAAGCCTTTTGAAGTTTTTTTTACCTGTTTAAACAAAGAATATGGTGTTTCCTTAAAGTGTCATGTTTTTGGATAAGATCTTGTTCTTATACAGTTTCATTTTACACACGTTTTATAATTATATTGCAAATGGCCCATTATGTCAAAATTTCTCGGCTCTTACATATGTTGTTTTGTGATTAAAACGTAAATTAAATTTACTCCTTCGCGTGTCGTAAAAGGAGACTTTTGTGTTTGGAACGGTTGCGTGGAATGTATTCGGAAAATAATTGGACTACATCTATTATGCAAATATACGAACATTTATTGGAAAAGAATTCTGGAAAACAATTAATCACTCCTATCTATCATCTATCTATTAAAAATCAAAATACATATTATGTCTCATCACCCTTGGGGATTATTATGTAAAGACGTGGCTTTCCATATTAATCCCGTAAAACGGTCCCCGGTTCTTATAACTTGCCATAAGAAACAGAACAACATTATGTTGCTATTTCACGCTAGTATTGTGTGAGAGCGTAATTTTTTTCGGGTCGAGCCAACTCATCATTTCTACAGGCATAACATGTACAAAATCTTTCAATATTAATCGCCACTTTGCCGCGTCAATCGCCTGTAAGTACTAAATCGGTAATACGGTCAATTTATTACGGTTAACAAGAATCAGTAATACGGTCAATTTAATAAGGTTAATGGAAATCGTTAATACTGTCTTTTTATGGTAATTGTGGATTTAAAATAAATAAAAACATATTTTTTATTTTCTATTCCAAAGAGCTTACTTGATTTTCTTTTAATCTATATCGGTTATCTAAACAGAAACATAGTCTTACTGTTTCTGGAATCCATTGCAGGGAAGATTTGGAAACCTCATGAGGATCGTTTGATAGTTTTCTGCCGACTTCCAATAATTTAAAATTAAAAATTTTGTAATGCCGACTTCAATATAAATTATTAAGAATAACTCAAAAACTATTAGTCTGACCTTGATCAATGGGATTCATATGGGACCACACGAGAAGTATCAGCTTTCATATAAAAAAGAATCATTGAAATCGGTTCAACCAGTACAAAGTTGTCAGGTAACACACATAAGAAAGAAAACATACAGTCGAATTGAGTACCGTCTCCTTTTTGGAAGTCGGCAGAAAAGGAGACGGTACTCAATTCGACTGTATGTTTTTTTATGTGTGTTACCTCATAACTTTTTACTGGGTGAACCGATTTCGATGATTCTATTTTTATTTGAAAGCTGGCACTTCTCGTGTGGTCCCATATGTAATTGATCAAGGTCAGACCAATAGTTTTTGAGTTAGGCTTAATAACTTATATTGAAGTCGGCTGTACAAAATTTTTAATTTTTAATTATTAATGTTTGCAGTAATAGTTGATGACTCCAACGAAAATAATTTCACGGGCCCGTTAAGACTTAGTATTTCCATAACGAATGATTTGTAGAAATTTTCATTCTTGGCAGGCAGCAATGGTATTTTAAAAAGTAAAATAAAAAATAAATATTTTTTTAAATAAGTAATAATGACCATGATGGTTTACTTATGACAAAGGCGATAGTTTCAGGAATACAAAGGAGTTATGATTTAAATATTTTGCAATACATAATTGGTTTTAATAAGTATAAAGTACTTTCGTGCCATGTAGTGGCTGGCTTCTTAGTGGATTCATCCAAATGATCATCCAAACATTATCTCTTAACATCTACGCGTGTAAGTGGCGACAGATTTTTTTTTATAGGATAGGGTGACAAACGAGTACAAAGTCCACCTGATGGTAAGTGGTTGCTGTGACCCATATACATCTACATTTATCCTCAATAAAGAATCAAAATGCAGATGCGTCGTCACCCGTGAGGACTAAGATGGAATGCTTATTTTCCAGTAAAATGGGTTTCCGGTTCTCTACACTCACCATACGAAACACAGCAGTGTCAAGCTGCCATTTTACGCTGGTATTCTGTGAGAGCGTGGTCCTTCCCCGGTCGAGCCGACCCATTCGTGCTACAACAATGCTACTAATATAGCTGCAGCATGGCTCTACCACGTATAGAATGAAATAAAACAGACGATGAGCAGATAACAACCAAAAATCTGCTTTTGCCCATCCTCCTGCCAAGCGTGGCGATAATGGCAAATAAAATCCCTAGTAGCCAATCTATGGTGGATGCCGATGTTCAATTTTTCAAAAAATTACAGGAGAGCAAGAAAACATTTATTATTCCCCGACTACTAGCTTTTTTCATCAGAAAATTAATCTTATTTGTAGTTTTCCATTAAGTCTAATATATTTAATTTTCTGATAAGGTTTCGCCCCTTTGCAACGTCAACGATGAATTGATAGGCTGTAATGATGATGACGAATGTTGATAAAATAGTTTTGTATTTTGCGATAGTTTTGCCCAAAACACTTTTTTTTTGTTTCGTTGTTTTCCTATAAAGTCAAACCACATTATTGCCATGAATAAATACTTTGTTATTTATAAATATTTTTTGTAAAGTTCATATTCCTTATGATTTTTAGAAGTTTCCTTTAATCTAATATAAAAAATGATATAAAAAATTGACAAATTTAAATTATCTTGAATAAGCTCTTTATTTCTTAAAGTAAAAATGATTTTATTCTACCCTATATTACATTTCTTAACAGCAAATAAAACACATACGTGATTATGACTTGCTAAAATGGTTTCAAAAAAATTCTGACGCTAATAAAAGCAGACATCTTCATAACACGGAACGAAAAGTAGCCGCGGAACATCGTGTACAAAAAACCATCGTCCAAATTCTGCACGATACGTAGACCCTGCACCACTACCTGCTACTTTGTGACATCTTGAATCAGGGCTGGCAACGTCGACGAATCTCTTACATGTTTGTTTATTCTGTTTATAGGTTAATTTTAAATTATGTTAAAATCTGGAGCCAATTGACCGACCATTTGCAATTTTAAGTTCTGATTCACCACGTGCTCGGGAGTGAAGAAAAATATCATAAGGGTACCTACAAGTCTAAGGAGTAAAATATTTTGGAAACATGAAATCTACCCACGCGCACTGGAGCCGGGCGATGGATTAATTGCTCTTTTCAGAAATGTGGAAGAGGCCTGTTCTCAACTGTGGGACATGTATTATACTTTTTGTAAAATATTTATAAAACACATTTAGCTTATTTATTTATGCTATGTTATAATATATTATAAGGCGAATAGAGCTGCATAGAGTTCACGATCATTGCTACGAAGTGTTTTTTAATAATTGAGAGAGATGATAATTTTATAACGATATTTAATTTCCATACCAAGAAGTTATAAGGAATTAAATTTAAGTTTTGCATGACTATTTCCAAAGGCAAGGCACAAAAAATGCTCCCAGTAATTGTATCAGCACATTACATCGCAGACCGGACTCCATTGTACGTTGTAAGAAAGGTCCGAGAGGCATTTTCTATGTTTTGTTTTAACTCGGCAAATAAATTTTCCCGGTTCAAGTCACCTGATCATTTAAAAGAAATATGAATGGTTCGTTTCTATAATACTTATAATAAGCGTCGGAGTATTTTGTATAATAACATAATACTCCGAGGTAAATTTTATATTTAGTAAAAAAAAAATATTTATAAAAACCTAGCTGAAGTGTTATGAAATGTGCTTCAAAACAATGTAATAAGTACTTTATTGTATTTTACAAACTGTTTCTGAAATTTAATGTTATGATTATGACAACCACGTACATTAGTAATAGTTAAAAATTAATGTATTAAATATATCTTTCGTATAATTAAAGATATATATTTGGAAATTAATTAGTGAAAAGGTACAGAAATCAAGCGACAACCCTAAAAGCTCCTTCTGCCACTTGAACGATCGAAAGGTACGACGGCGCGCCGGTATCAGGAAGGAATGTATAGTAGGTGACTTGAACACTTCCTGTCCCTTTCCTTCGTAACCGGTGTCCCTTATGCTAAATTTGTTAGCCGTCTCATTCGGACACACCAACATTTTCAATACTTACCTGTGCAATGATATACATCTGTTCAATAACGACCTCCCACTCACACTGGCTGTCTGAAATAGATTGTTGATATTTCTTTCTCATTCTGGCGTTCATGAACAGGGGGTAGACGGTGTTGGAACGCGCCTGTGTTGGTGTTCGTTTATTTAGTGAACTTGGAAGCTCGTTCTCGTGTTTGTGCGTAGGGTGTTTATACAAATGTGTGCGTGAGTTGTAGAGGCGCGACATAGCTTTGCCGTCTCCATGACTTAAAAGTTTTGGTATGGAATGGAACAAGCGGGCTAGTTCAGCGCCGGTCGGCATGCTAGACGGACACGTGTGTTACGTTCCTGCCTAACTTCTTCGTAACTACGAAGAAAAAGTTGTTTTTATAAAAGCAATAATTCTTGCTCTCTTATTTCATATGTGACATTTTTATTTATGAATGCAATAAAGTGACTACGTATTTATTGGACATTGTGCGATGATTATTTTTTTGTGAAACTGCGACGTGTATGGTTCAACGGACTACGGAGGTTGGTTTTCATACCATGCTCGTGTGCTACAGTGTATCCAACCAAAAACTCCGACATAATCTAATGATTATTGCTTTAAGAGTACGTTTTAAATAAAGTAACAGAAAATAATTATTTTGGTATTCAAAATGTGCTCAATGTAAATTCACCTGAACAATGCAATTATAATAATGTAGTGAGTTTTATTGATATTTAAAAAAGCGAATCAAAAAAATATAAATATAGACTTTTTAAATATCACTATAAGTAATCATAATATACAAAAAAATAACAATCAACAATTACCACGTTAATATAAATATAAAAAGTAATTTGTCTTCTGATTTTTTTATCAAATCCAATGATTATGAATTATAACCATGATCGCATATAGCGAAGTAATTTACGGCAAAATGTACAACCAATATACAACTTTTAAATTCATTGCGTATCACAAAATTCATATTAACTGTTTTTAGTATAAACAATTTTGTCGGTGTCTCTTTCTAAATCTCAATATTCTTCATGAACATCGGCGGGTTGAACAACCGTAATGTATAAATAGATCCAGATTAGACACAGAAACGACGGCAAACGTAGGGTATCCCCCAATAAATCATCAAGCTAAAATATTTCTTATCTGTGAATACCTATTCTAACATCATAATGCCTGATATATAAGATGAACAATAAATATATTTTCAATCTTACAAACACGGTACTAGACTACTACAAAGGACAGAACAAAGTGTACATGTACTTTTTTTTAAAAGAGTTGTAAGTAAATAATATCTATTTACATTCTCAATATTTGCTATTTTTTTATAATATAATATATTATATACATATATATATATATATTAATATATATATATATATATATATATATATATATATATATATATATATATATATAGACATGTAATCCCATAAAAAACTGTAACAATGAAGGGGAAAGAAAGAAACCCATTGCTAATGAACTCTTACTACAAGAGCAGTTCTTGTTAAAACTCACTAACTACAATTATACCTGCATATATTCCTAGAATTTTAAAAAGCCGTACATAGCTTATGAATAACTTTCTAATTTCACTAAGCAGGTCATCATTTGGTTTCGTAAAAATAATTCAGAAAATATTACCCAGATATCAAAATATTGTTTATGTATTACATATTATAAGAGCAATTAATATAATACTTATATTAATCGGAAATTACTTTCTTGTTTATTCTGAGATGGATATCAAAACCAACGTAAAATAATTAATGAAAGATATTACTATGTCAAAAATAAAGATATTATATGTCGTTAATAAAGCACATTATTCTCACCATACAATTTTTATCTTTATGGAAACTATGATAGAGTCAACGTTTAACTCTTTTTAACTACAGTACTATGCAATATTAAGCTTTATAATATGCTTTCTAAAAATTTTATAATAGCTTATTATAAGCTTTATAATATGCTTTCATGTTAGTAAAATTAAAAATTCCTAATATAGTGTATAGGAGAAAATAATTAATCAATAAATGCTGTTAAGTTATCTATTACACCCTATGATTGACAATAATAGTTATTGATGTTTTGTGTTCATATTAGATTATCAATTATTTTAACACATATAATACAAAAAGGTGTTATATGTAAAACTCCCAGGAAGAATATTTGTATGATATAATGTCCATTAAACTCGCAATTTTTTATGAATTTAGTTTTCTTTTTTTATAAACCTTTAATTCACCCTTTTTGTTATCATAATTTCAAAGAATAATGTTCTGCTTGAATATTATATGAAAGAATTTCATAATTACATAAGCCAAAGTACACATGATATGTTTTAAGAGTAATTTAAATAAGTTCGATTATTAATGTTTTATTCTTAAAAAAGCCAACTGGCCAATACTAATACCTTTAATAAATATTTAAGATGATCAGAGATTGTTCTTGTCTTTTTTAAGAACTGATAGATGTCATAATGAACCCAATAGTTTCTACTCACTACGTTACATTTCTGTATGTTATACTAAATATTAAAATATAATAAAAATTTCTTCGGATTTTTAAGTTTCTTTATTTTCACAAACGTAAAAATAGTTTAATAAAATAGTATAATGTATCTTAAACGGTGTAGGTGCATTTTGAACTAAGACAAAAAAAAACTCGACAATATTGAAGAAGAATTACGCTTAAAGCTCTGGTAAAGGTACAAATTCACGAGTTACGTTAATTTTCATTAATAAAGTTGAAGTTTACAGCCTGTATAAATCCCACTGCTAGGTATATGGCTCCTCCCATTTCTGAATGGGTTTTACAATAATGTCACAATATTATTATTTATATATTTATTTGTCATAAAATAAAAAAGTACTGCTAAAATAAAAATATAGTAATGCTTACGTTAGAAGAATTTATAAAATAGATTATCATAATGGAATAAAACACATGACGAAGCTATGTATTTAATTTGTATTAATGAGGTTGCACAAATTCTGTTATGTAGTGAGGTAATAAACATGAAACAGTAATTACGATAAAATTAAAAATGCAAGTTTTTTCAAAAGTTTTGTAAAAGAAATGTGTCATATTATCACAAGTAAATCTTTTGGATTATACTTGTGGTAATAAGTAGTCACAAGTAATAAGTCAAAATAATGAGTCACAGTAATAAGTCAAGTACACCTAAAAAAGTTTACTCGTGATAATTTAAAATTAAAAATTTTGTACAACCGACTTCAATATAAGTTATTAAGAATAACTCAAAAACTATTGGTCTGACCTTGATCAAATATGTAATATATGGGACCACACGAGAAGTATCAGCTATCAAATAAAAAAGAATCATCGCAATCCGTTCACCCAGTAAAAAGTTATGAGGTAACACACATAAAAAGAACAAACAGTCGAATTGAGTACCGTCTCCTTTTTGGAAGTCGGCAGATAATAAGTCATTATGATAACGTAAACTGCACAAAAGTTTGTGAAACATACAGGAAATTAAACTAGTAATAGTTGCTTTTCTAATATTAATATCATGCAACGCACTTAATATTTACAATACGAAGACCATAAAATACTGGCATAATAACCGGCTAAGTTTACCCCCACAGATATCAAAGTGTTCGCAACGCCCCTTTCAATCCGAACAGAGAATTACTCTCATCGCCGCGTTGTTATATCTCCTTGTCCAAAACAATTGATATCTCTATTTGTATCAATAATACAGAAGGCAGACGTTTACGTGCATTTCGGACGTGTGCTGAATGTAGTAGCTTCTTTCTACCAGTACTACATTTATTGTAACTTTTTTTAAGAAGTTACTTATGTTAGACCAATTTTAACAAATAATATGAGACATCTTACCTTGGTGAAACTGAAGTCTCTGATTGCTGTTTTTTTATTATTATCATTTATCCTTATTGATTTGTTAGTTGGCTCTCTACGAAGGTAATTTTTTATGCAATATTTAGCTTTTCATATCTTTAAATTAAGCTTACCTCTGACGTCAAGTTTAAGAGTCCAGTGAGTTTTTTTTATAGGAGGGGGGGCAAACGAGCGTGCGGCTCAACTGATGGTAAGTGACTACCGCCGTCGACGAACAACTGCAATACTAATAGGAGAATTGCAGATACGTTACCGCGTAGGCTCTTTTCTTGAAGGTCCCTAAGTCGTATCGGTCCGGAAAAATCACTGGTGGTAATCGATTCCACAAGGAAGTTGTGTGACGGAGTAAACTTCTTCTAAATCACACAGTGATGGACTGCCAATCATCCAGATGGTATGGATTTTATCGCGAGTTTTGTCGCGATGTCATCATTACAGCCCTTCACAAGTCCACTGCTGAACATAGGCCTCCCCCAAAGAATGCCACAAAGCACGGTCCTGAGCCACCTGCATCCATCGACTTCCTGCATATCTTACCAGGTCGTCACTCCATCTAGTGGGGGGACGCCCTACACTTCGCCTGCCGGTACGAGGCTGCCACTCGAGAACCTTTCTTCCCCATCGGTTGTCGGTTCTTCGAGCTATATGGCCGACCCACTGCCACTTCAGCTTACTAATCCGTTGGGCTATGTCGGTCACTCTGGTTCTACTGCGGATATCCTCATTTCTGAGTTTATCACGCAGAGAAACTCCGAGCATAGCCCTCTCCATAGCTCGCTGAGCGACCTTGAGCTTCCTCATCCGGCCAGCAGTGAAGGACCACATCTCAGTTCCGTATGTCATCACTGGCAACACGCACTGGGTGTACAGTCGCGATTGTCGCGATGTGCGATGGAGAAATTGAGTGGCTGGAATTAGTTCTAACAATTCCTCAGAGCACTCCCCGTGATAGATGTTAGAGTTCTTATGAGTGTTTTTTTTAAAGTAGGTTTGTATATTTCATTTGTTAGCACTAATTTTTTTATAAATTTTATTAAATATTCTTATGTATTTCTAATTTTTGTTTTAATTTTGTTAAAATTGTGGTGAATCTCATTTCAAAAACATAAAGGAGAAATTGCTTGCGCCTAATTTGGCTCTGAACCTTCTCTGCTTAATTAATTGCTCCTAAATCGAAAGCCTCCGAAGCTTTGTCTTCGCGTTTGTTCTAGGTAGTTTAATCATTGTTATTTGTAGTTATTTCTAAATAGTTTTAGCATGGGTCTCTTTGAATCGTCGACGAAGCGTTTCTTGAGGTTGTGGTCGGGGAACTAATAACGCCGTTAGTAGCATTTAATTGATTTTGTACTCTAGAAACTAATTAGACTTGTGGTTTATGTAGCCTAACAGCATTAATAATTTATCGTATACTAGCCATAAGACAA